GTGTTTGTAAATAGGATATCATGTCTGCATCTTGTACAGCAATTAAACACTAGGAAGATTGTATGCAATGTGTTAATTATTGAACCTGTCCTTCCAATTTGGTTTGAAATAAATAAATAAATATATAAATAAAAAACAGAGCATCAAGGGAGATTTACTTGTGACACCATTCATAGTTCAGCGTCTGATGGGGAATGAGTTTTTATAGATTGCTTTTGCTCTTTGCATTGATTTTCATGTCTATGATCTTTTCAAGAGAATAAACATAAAAAGCAATAAAAACAAAAACAAAAAAAGAAAGAAAATTCCATGTGAGTATTTATACTCCAAATGGGACAGGTAAGAAATAATGAGACGACTCACCATCCATTGCAGATTTCAGTGAAGCCTCAGGTTGGTCTTCATCTAAAGGATGCTGTATGCTCTTCAAGGTAGATAATAGGTCTTTAACTTCAACTTTTCCATCAGAGACACTATTAACAATGTTCCATACATCCTCTATTCCTATGTATAGATATTAATGACAAAATTTAAAAAGCACTTAGGTGTTTAATTTATCTAGATGAGCACATAGCAAAATGACTGAAATTAAATCATTTGTGGCCATACTCCTAAAACTTTTATACAGATTTAATACAATCCTGATCAAAATACCATTACCAGACCTCACAGATATAGAGAAAACATTCCTAAAATTCATGAACAGCAAAGGAAATCCTGGCCAACAAATGCAATGTAGAAGGAATCAAAATCTTTGTCTTTAGAACTCTCCAGACCAAAACCCAGGCATGCCACATGAGTGAGACCCCCCTGCCGTGCCCTTGGGACCCCTCTGGAGTTCCCCCCCCTTCAAAGCCACCAAGTGAGTGAGAACTTCTGCCATGCATTTGTGACCCCAAGATCCAGCCCAAGCCCAGGCCTGGTGAGTGTGTGGGAGAATTTCCAACTCCCGTGAGGCTACCCGTGGGAACTCTTCAGACCAACACCCAGGAATGCCACATGAGCAAGGCCCTCTTCCATGCCCTGGGGACTCTCCACCCCTCCGGACACCATCTCCCAAGCCCACCAAGTAAGTGAGAACTTCTGCTGTGCTCTTGGAGTCCCCCAGACCAGCCCAAAACAGGCCCAGTTAGCGTGTGGGAGAACTTCTGCACAACCCTGTGCCCCCTGGGCCAGTGGCACAACAGAGGGGAACAACAGGTTTACTTCCAAGGGCTGCACCAGGAAGGAACTGAGCACAACAGCTACACCCTAGCCAGACACAAGTGGATAAACTCAAACTTAATAGATGTGCACCCAAATTTCAGTAAGTGCTAAGATTATAACTGCACCAAAGCTCTACAACAAAGGTCAGAGGACAGTGCTATATGAAATGACAAATAGAAGGAGCATAATGCAATCTCAGGCCTCGAGCCCACCCAGAACAAGTGCAGATGACCACCTCAGCTGAAATATATGAATTAATAGCGTCACAAGTAAAGAAACAAAAGCAGAAAGGTAGAGAGGAACTCAGATCAGAATTAATTGCTGAAATAAAAAAAGAAATCTTGAAATTAATAGCATCTGAAGTAAACAATCAAATGCAGAAATATATGGAGGGAACCAAATCTGAAAAAAATCTCTGTAGTAAAAGCATTAATAACTGATTCTATAGAAGGCATAGATTAAAAAAATAGAAGAGATAAGAAAAATAATGGATTCCTTGAATGAGCAATACAGGAAAGAAATAGACTGCATAAAGCAGAGTCAAAGAGATATAGAGGAACTTAAAATCTCCATCACAAACTTGCAAAAACGTTTGAGTGAAAGCGAAGATAGTGTTTCAGATCTTGAGATGCTGGTGCAGGTAGTGAAAAGCTCACTTAAAAACAACTAGGTTGCAGGAAAAAATAATTCATCACCTGCAAGACAATGCAAAGATGGACAATGTGAGACTAATAGGCATCAATGAGAAAGGAGTCAATAAAAATCATATAAAAAGAATATGGGAAGAAGTAATAGCAGAAAACTTCCCAAATATGAGGAAAAATTCTGACATTCAGTAACTGAAGCATACAGAATGCCAAATAACTTCAACCCAATTAAAAACACACCGAGACATAGTCAAGATCCCAGAAATCCAGCACAAGAATAATATACTGAAAGCCACTAGAGAAAAGAAACAGATTATATTCAAAGGAAAACCCATCAGAATTACAGCTAACTTCTCTTCACAAACCATGAAGGTAAGAAGAGCATGAAGCAGAGTACTTCAGGTCCTCTATGAAAACAAATTCCAGCCCAGACTACTATACCCTACAAAACTTACTTTCAAATTTGATGGAGAAGTGAAATACTTCCGTGACAAAGAACAACTAAAGAATTTCATGATGACAAAGCCAACCCTACACAGGCTACTGAAAGATGTTCTAGAGAGGGACCAAAATGATCAGAACTCCATGAATGAGAACAGAAGGAACCCACTAAATAGGGCAAATAATTAAACACAGGAAAAAAAGGGGTAAACCACATCAGATAAATAACATGTCGATCATAAATCAATACATCTCAATTATAACCATCAATGTAAATGGACTCAATTCACCAATTAAAAGAAATAGACTGGCACAGGGGATTAGGAAACACAATCCAACAATATGCTGTATATAAGAAACACACTTAACTCATAAAGATATTCATAGGCTGAAAGTCAAAGGATGGAAAACAATACTACATACCTCAGCACCTCAGAAAAAAGCAGGGGTAGCAATTCTGTTCTCAGACACCCTCAACTTCAAACCAAGAATGATCAAACAAACTAAAGAAGGCCACTACATACTGGTTAAGGGAAAATTTCAAGAGGAAGAGGTAACACTCATAAATGTACACACACCAAACACAGGAGTAACCAACTATATAAGACAAATCTTAATGGACATGAAAAGTCTAATATCCAATACCACAATCCTAACAAGAGATTTTAACACACCTTTATCTCAGAAAGACAGGTCAACCAGACAAAAAATTAGCAAAGAAGTAGCAGATCTGAACCAGAGCTTGGAAGAAATGGATTTAGTAGACATATACAGAGTGTTCCACCCAATGACAGCTGAATATACATTTTTCTCAGCTGCACATGGGTCATTTTCTACAATAGACCAAATACTGGTCCATAGGCCATGCTTAAGTATATGGAAGAGAACAGAAATTATCCCATGCATATTATCTGACCACTGTGCAATGAAACTGGAAATAAACAAGACAAGAAAAAAAAAAAAACATAATACATGGAAATTAAACAACACCATACTCAGCAGCCAATAGGTGACAGATGAAATTAAACAAGAAATTCAACAATATCTACAATTCAATGAAAAGTCAAGCACAGAGGCGGCGAGGGGGTGGGGTGGAGGGAAAAGCAAGCTAGGAGGTGCTGCGGCCGCTTCTAGTAGTTTCCAGGCGCTGCCGGGCGGCTGGGATCAAGCGGATCTGAGGCTGTGACCTGGACGCTCAGGGGACTGGTGGCTGGTGGCTGGTGGCGGCGAGATAGAAAAGCTGATGGCCAAGTGGGGTGAAGGCGACCCACACTGGATTGTGGAGGAGCGGGCAGACGCCACCAATGTCAACAACTGGCACTGGACAGAGAGGGATGCGTCAAATTGGTCAACAGAAAAGCTGAAAACACTTTTCCTGGCAGTGCGAGTACAAAATGAGGAAGGCAAGTGTGAGGTGACAGAAGTAAGCAAGCTTGATGGAGAGGCATCCATTAACAATCGGAAAAGCAAACTCATCTTCTTTTATGAATGGAGCATCAAACTGAACTGGACAGGTACCTCTAAGTCAGGAGTATAGTACAAGGGACATGTGGAGATCCCCAATTTGTCTGATGAAAACAGTGTGGATGAAGTAGAGATTAGTGTGAGCCTTGCCAAAGATGAGCCTGACACAAATCTCGTGGCCTTAATGAAGGAAGAAGGGGTGAAACTTCTAAGAGAAGCAGTGGGAATTTACGTCAGCACCCTCAAAACAGAGTTCACCCAGGGCATGATCTTGCTGACAGTGAATGGAGAGTCAGTAGACCCACCAGGGCAGCCAGCACTGAAAACTGAGGCGTGCAAGGCTAAATCTGCTCCTTCAAAAACCCAGGCCAAACCTGTTGGTGTCAAAATCCCCACTTGTAAGATCACCCTTAGAGAAACCTTCTTGACATCACCGGAGGAGCTGTACAGAGTGCTCACCACCCAAGAGCTGTTCAGGCCTTTACCCACACTCCTGTGATGCTAGAAGCAGACAAAGGTGGGAAGTTTCACATGGTGGATGGCAACGTCTCTGGGGAGTTTACTGATCTGGTCCCTGAGAAACATATTGTGATGAAGTGGAGGTTCAAATCTTGGCCAGAGGGGCACTTTGCCACCATCACCTTGACCTTCCTCGACAAGAACGGAGAGACTGAGCTATGCACGGAGGGCCGGGGCATCCCTGCCCCCGAGGAAGAGCAGACGCGGCAGGGCTGGCAGCGGGACTACTTTGAGGGCATCAAACAGACCTTTGGCTATGGCGCACGCTTGTTTTAGGGCTGGCAGCGGGGGCTCCAGCCTGCCCAGCACTTGTGACTGGGGCTAGTGACTCACAGGATTGTATCATCCCAACTGCTACCTTGGGGCTGGGGCCCTCTCCTCCACGTATACCTTGGGTTTGTGCATGTTTTCTGCTGGGTGGGGTCAGAGGGTAATTTCTCTTTTATGTGTACATACGCTAAATAAACATAATTTAAAAAAAAAAGTCAAGCACAACTTATTGGAACTTATGGGATGTGACTAAAGCAGTTCTCAGAGGGAAATTCATAGTTGTGAACTCACACATTAGGAAAACAGAACAGGAACAAATGAACACCCTAATGATACACCTCCAAAATCTAGAAAAGGAAGGGCAAACCAAACGCAGAGCCCAAAGACGGGAAGAAATCATAAAGATTAGAGCAGAAATTAATTCAACTGAGACAAAGAAAACAATTCAAAGAATTAACAAAGCAAAAAGCTGGTTCTTTGAAAGATTAAATAAAATTGATAAGCCCCTAACTAACCTCATCAAAAAGAGGAAAGAAAAAATTCAAATATAAGCAATAAGGAATGAAAAGGTGTAACTATCACAGACCCAGTGGAAATTCAGAAGATTGTCAATAGCTACTTTGAGAACCTTTACTCTCACACAATAGAAGACACAGAAGAAATGGACAGATTCCTAGAAAAGTACAAATTACCAAAACTGAGTCAAGAAGATGCAGTATCTCTCAATAACCCAATAACAGCCAATGAAATATGAAATGTATAAAAATCCTACCAACAAAGAAAAGTCCAGGCCCTGATGGACTCACAGCTGAATTCTACAAGAAATTTACAAAAGATATAATCCCACTACTCCTCAAACTCTTCAATGAAATTGAAAAGGAAACAGTCCTCCCCAAAACATTCCTCGAGACAAGTATTATACTGATTCCAAAACCAGGGAAAGACACTACTAAAAAAAAAGAACTACAGTCTAATCTCCCTCATGAAGATAGATGCAAAAATCCTCAATAAAATCCTAGCAAATAGCATACAGCAAATCATCAAGAACATTATACACCATGGTAGGTAGGATTCATCCCAGGCATACATGGATGGTTCAATATATGTAAATTTATAAATGTAATACACTATTTCAACAGAGCAAAATCTAAAAACCACATGATCAACTCAATTGATGCAGAAAAGACTTGTGACAAAGTCTAACACTCATTCATGTTCAAAGTCCCACAGAAAATTGGAATAGATGGCCTCTACTTCAATCTGATAAAAGTCATCTATGCAACACAACAGTTAACATAATTCTAAATGGGAAAAGCTGACATCTTTTGCTCTCAGATCTGGTACAAGACAAGGATGGCCTCTATCACCACTCCTATTTAATATAGTTTTGGAAACATCAGCTAGAGCCATTAGACAAGAGAGAGAAATAAAAGGAATAAGAACAGGTAAAGAAGAAATTAAATGATCATTATTTGTAGATGACATGATACTATTGGAAGACCCAAGAAGCTACTAGAATACACAGTTTCAGTAGCATAGCAGGACACAAAGTCAATACCCAAAAGTCAATACCATTCCTCTACACAGGAAACAAACACACTGAGATGGAAATTGGAGAAACGATACCTTTTACAATAGCACCACGGAAAATGAAATATCTTGAAATTCATCTAACTAGAGAAGTTAAAGATCTTTTCAAAAAAATTACAGTACTCTGAAAAAAAGAGATCATAGAGAATTTCAGAAAATGGAATATTCCATGCTCCTGGACAGGAAGAACCAACATTGTGAAGATGGCCATACTCCCAAAATTGTTGTACCAATTTAATGTAATCCCTATCAGACTACCACCAATATACCTCACCGAGCTAGAGAAATCATTCCTAAAATTTATCTGGAACCAGAAAAGACCTAGAATAGCAAAGGCAATCCTAGGCAATAAAGACAAGGCAGGAGGCATTACAATTCCTGACTTGAAATTATACTACAAAGCTACTGTGATAAAATCAGCATGGTACTGGCAACAAGTGGACCTGAAGATCAATGAAATAGATAAGAAGATGAAGAGGTCTCTATGAACACACTCAGCCACCTGATTTTTTTTTTTTTTTTTTTCAGAACCGGGGATTGAACTCAGGCCCTTGTGCTTGCCAGGCAAGTGCTTATTCTACTGAGCCATCTCCCTGGTCCACCTGATCTTTGACAAAGCGGCTAAACATGCTTACTGGAAGAAAGCTAGCCTCTTTAACAAATGGTGCTGGAAAACCTGGCTCTCTACATAATGAAAACTAAAACGACCCAGGTCTATCACCATGCACTAAGCTAAAGTCAAAGTGGATTAAAGATCTAAACATTAAAACAGAAATCTCCTGGCCACTCCTCAGCCCTTTGGCTCAGATCAAGTGCAAATCCTCCCACCATGTCTTTTTACCTCAGAAGACGGCCAACTTTGGTCTAAAAACAGGACCCATGAGAAACCTCTCCTCTGTTACGTTGTGTCAGGAATTTTGTCCTAGCATGGGTAAGGCAGTGACTAAAGAAATCAAAAGGTCATTTCTTTGATAATAAGAGGAGGATTTTTTTTGGGGAGGTGGGTGTGTTGGCTCAGCCTGCCTTAAGGGCTGGTCTGGTATGGCAGGTGGAGGTGGGGTTTGAACCGCAGTATCCTGTGCCTGACTGCATTTGCATGAGCAGGATCTTAAGCAACTGAGCTAACCAGCAGGCCCCCAAAAGATGAGAAAGATTTTTTTCTTAATAATAGGAGAGATAAATCTATAATAAGGTTTTTGAAGAATGCAAGCTAGCCAGGAATGGTGGTGCATATCTGTAACACCACCACTGAAGGCGGCTGAGACAGGAGTAGAGCAATTTTGAGTCCTGTTTGGGCAATTTAGAAAGACCCTGTCTAAAAATGAAGAAGGCTAGAGTTACTGCTTAGTAACAGAGTATCCCTGGACTCTATTTCCAGTATTACAAAGAAAAACAAAATTGCAACTTAATAGAATGCATGGAAAATAGGTAAATTCAGAGATAACTAAATTGTACAATATTATGAAAATATGTTCATAAAACCTAGGTTTTAAATATATGCTCCTATTATATTTAAATGAGAGGGTAAAGAAGAGGGGTTGCTTGGTTCTTCTTACAGTCATATCCCTTCATGTTCTAATCTACAAACCTTAATTTTATATTTATAGTCACTTCAAATTGCACTTACTTTGGCACTCAATAAATTCATCACTGTTAGTCAATTCTCTGATGAAATCTTCAAAATGTATCACTTCATCTTGTTTTTACAAAAAAAGAAGAAACAGATAAACTTGTTAAAAAGACCATTTGATTTTATAAAATCAGTTATAAAACACAAAAATAAAGTGGTAAACAGACAACAATCGTGATGAATGTAATATGTACATAAGATCTGAAATAAAAGATGTCAGAGATATTACTTTATTTTTTTCAAGAGAAAAATAAAATTATCTTTACTCACAGAAAATATGATTATGTACATTAAAAAGTTAGAAGAATATAGAAATGTTAAGTTTATAAATTCAGCAAGGTTATATAAAAAAATCTATTAAAGTGGCTAACCTTTTCCAACTTTCAACTTTCCTAGAGATATTACTTTAAAAAATAAATTTCTTCACTACAAATACATCAGTTTTTAAAAGTAAGCAAAAAACACCTTCAAAGTTTTGAGAGCTAGAGAGAGAGAGCTAGAGAAAGAGTTAGAGAGAGAGAGGAAGAAAAAGAAAGAGGGAAGGAGGGAGGGAGGGAGAGAGACACAGAGAATCTCTTTGGACATTTAGGGTGAAGCTTGTAAAATACTGAGTTTGTTGGTTTAAAGTGAAATAATTACTCACCATTAGGATTAGTATTATCCAAAGTCTTCTGTATTTTTTCATCTGTTAGATAGATTCCTATAGCATTTAAATTGTTTTGAATGTCAGAAATGGCTGTAGGATCATTTTTGTGAATGTCAAGGCTGTAAAGTTTGTCTTTCCCTCCTGTGAGGAGATCACCACCTTTAGAGAGCCACAGAAAATTAGGGAATGAGAGTATTTACTCAACCTAAAACAAGTTATTTGAAAATTAAAGTTAACATCATGCTTAAAACTGAAGCGCTGACTGGTTTCTCCCTTAGGCCACAAACAGGACAAAGATGGAGCCTTTCACCATACTGTCCAGCCTTGTGCCAGAGACCAGAGATCACAGCCGGTGCAAAAAGACACTAGCAATAAATGGCATCACGATGGCAAAATGAGAAGAAAAATTACCATTATCCACAGATATGACTATGATAGAAAGCCAGGAATTTAAAACATCTACTAAAAGAGGTTAGCAAGATTATAGAATACAAGGCCTTAAAATTATCTCTATATACATATATTATACACATAAAAAGGACACTGCAGTTTTATAAGCAAATAAAAAACAATTAAATATCTGGGATAAACCTAACAAAACATACAAGACCTCTTCACTGAAAGCTAAAAGCCATGACTAAACCAAATTAAAGGAGACCTAAATAAAACACAGAATCAAACTTCCATCAGTACTTTCTTAGAATATTGACAAGTTCATCCTAAAACATAAAGGAATGCAAAGAATCTAAGTAGGCAAGATACATTTCAAAATAAAAAATAGGTGTAATGCTATAATTCATCATAACAACAGAATAATCAAAGTACACTCATTTAAATTGAAAGCACTTGAAAAAAAATCAATACTCAAAAGAACAAAGTTAGAAGCACTAGGACTGGGGATACAGCTCAGTGGCACAGCACCTGCCTGCCAAGTGCGAGGCCCTGAGTTCAATTCTTGGTACCAAAAAGAAAGAAACAAGTACAACTTTATTCCAAAAACCTAAGGCCGGCCAGATAGCTCAGTGGACTAAAGCATCTGCTTCAGGGCACAGGGACCGACTTTTGATCCCAGGCATGCTGTGCAGGCCCCGCCCCCAGGGTGCACTGAGATGCTGATTGAGACTGAGCATGGTGGCATGTGCCTGTAATCCCAGCGCTTGGGAGGCTGAAAGCAAGAGAATCACTACAAGTCCAGTCTACGTAGCGAGACTCTGAACACCTTGTAGACTCTGCCCTAAATTAAAAAAAAAAAAAAAAAAAAAAACATTGCAAAGCTACCATCATCAAGGTAGTATTACATTGATGTCAAGGCAGATAGACATAGCAATGAAAGAATGGTCCACACATAGATCCACACACTCACACATGTAGAGACATATAACTAAAAGGAATAGAAATCAAAGTACAAAATAAAGATAATATTGTTGCTCAATTTAGGCATGCCTAGACAAGGAAAAGGGGAAAAAGTAGTGTTTGTCAAAATCTGGATCACCTACCTCATATCATATATGAAAGTTATCTTAAAATAGATCAAAGACCTAAATATAAGCACCATAACTATCACACTTTATCAGTGTAAGATTCCAATAAGGCATGTAACATCTTCATCAATTTATCCCTTCACCTCCTTTGGTCTCCCTGCCCTTGATATTCTCTTCTCTTCTCTTCTCTTCTCTTCTCTTCTCTTCTCTTCTCTTCTCTTCTCTTCTCTTCTCTTCTCTTCTCTTCT